AGTTATTGTACTCCATAAAGCAAGTCGAGAATGTGTATGGCTGAGGTCTATGACTCAACATATCCAAGAAACTTGCAAACTATCTATCAATAAAGATCCAACAGTATTATTTGAAGACAGTGCAGCATGTGTCGCTCAAATAAAGGAAGGTTACGTCAAAAGCGACATAACGAAACACATACCTCGGAAGTTCTTCTCATACTTCCAAAAGCTGAAAAAGAATAAGGATATTGATATTCAATACATTTGATCAAGTGATAATGTAGTAGATCTTTTCATAAAGGCACATCACACTACAACATTCAGAAAGCATATCCACAGTATCGAGATACATCATCTGCAAGATTTATGAGGAAGACATATACATGTCAACTTGAGAGAGAGTTTGCATAGCTGTACTCTTTTTCTCTTATTATGGTTTTATCCCACTAAGTTTTCCTGATAAGATTTTTAACGAGGCAACATAAACACGTATAGATAAATGATGTACTCTTTTTTCCTTTGCTATGGTTTTTATCTCACTGGGTTTTCCCTAACAAAGTTTTTAATGAGGCCAGTGCTGAACTTTCGGGCGGCGGGCATGCCCGATGCCCGAAAATTTTTGGGCACTTCGGGCAGGCCACTCTCGCCGCCCGACCACGGTTTTCTTCGGGCACGGGCTCGGGTAGCCCGAAAATGGTAAGCCCCCGACAGCCCGCCGCCGTGGAGAAGCCGTCCCCCGCCGTTCGCCGGATTTTTTTTGAATTTTCCGGCAATACCCGAAGCTGCCCAAAAACTGCCCGAATTTGTGCCCGAACTGCCCGAATTTTTGTGATCGTTGCCCAATTTTTCTCGTTGCCCAAAAAATGCCCGTTTTTTTGTTACTGTTAGCCCGAAAAACTGCTCGAATTTTGAACAAACGGGTCTTTTTGCCCGAACCCGATCCGAACCTGAATTTTGCCCGAATTTTTGAACCAAACGGTCAGATTTTGTACCGTTGCCCGACCTGCCCGATTTTTGCCCGAGCTGCCCAAAAAATTTGTAGCCGTTGGACTCGAATTTTTGGGGGGAAAATTTTTTTTTTCAACCCAAAAATTTTCCTATAAATACCCCCCCTTCCCCCCAACCATTTGCCTCACCCCAAAACTCTCATTCTCTCTCAATTTCTCTTAATCTCTCTCAATTTCTCTTAATCTCTCTCAAATCTCTCTTAATCTCGCTTAAATCTCTCTCGAATCTCGATTCTCTTAAGCTCTCTCAAAGCGCTCTCAATCTCTCTTATTTTTCATAATGGCTTCTTCTGGTTATGGTGGTGATATTCTCATTGATGCCCAATTCAACATCGAAGAAGGGCAATTTCCTAATGTTTTTCAAACGCAGGAATCGCAAACTATGGAAAGAGTTGCTGATGAAACTGCAAATCTGACCCCTGGTGGACGTACTAGAGGTCGGGGACGCAATGGTGGTGGCACAAGTGGCCGTGGAGGAGAGGCAAGCGGTAGTGCTATTGCAAGTGTTGCAAGTTCTAAGAAGAAATGCAAGCGCACCTCAGCAGTTTGGGAGCACTTCAACACATTCGAGGACATCGACAATAACGGTAACATTAAATACGTAGCTCAATGTAAATATTGTGGTGAGAAATTACAAGGTAACACTATTCACGACACTACACACTTAAGAAGGCACTTTGAAAAGTGTCTTCAAAAGCAAGGAGGCGGAGATCAACTCCGCCAAACACAATTATCGTTTGACCGCCAAACCGGC